TGGGAGGAGATTGTCGGGGTCATCGGGGTGTTTCGGTGGGCTCCGTCGGAGGTGGGAGGAGCATTTTTCCGTTCCCAAGAGCCTAGAACTAAGATGAATTAGAACTAGAACTAGCTAGAACTAACATGGGGCGGGTTAGAACTAACATAAGATGAGTTAGAACTAACATGGGGCAAGTTAGAACTAACATGGGGCAAGTTAGAACTAACTTGAGAGCCTAAGAACCTAGAACTAAGATGAATTAGAGCTAGAACTAGCTAGAACTAACATGGGGGGTTTCTTTCATAGAGATACATTAATACACATTTTCGTTCTTTCTTAATTATGACATTTCTCTTCATTCTCCTTCTACTCTACTTCTTCTTACCTTTCTTTTTCCTTTTTTTTCTTTTTCTTATTATTTTCTTCTTCTAGCTAATGGATTAATGCTCTGTGCGTCTCGGCCCGGTGACTAAAAAACATCCACAACAGAATTGGTCACAATTTGCAAATACAGAAGCTCATAAGGATAAATCCACAGTCATGTGAGAAATTAAAAACGTAGATATATTGTCAACATGAACCTCAATATTGATCAAAGTCATCTCAAATAAAAAAAAGAAAAAGTAATGTCCAAATCTCAACAGGGCACAACAACATCATCATTTACAGTAAAGATCAATCTCAAAAACCAACCTACTCTCGTAGCATCATCTTCTTAAATTCATCAAAGCATAAAACACCATCCCCATTAATATTATACCTTCGGATCATCTCCCTGCACTCCTCAACAATCTTCAATTGCCCAAGCTTTTCGAGTGTTTTCCTCAAGCTCTGCGGCGGTGATCTATGGCGAGGGAGCGGCGACGATCTACGGCGACGAGGACGGGCTGAGGACGAACTCGAGGGGAGCCTTAGGGGCCTGAGCGGAGGCGGCGATGGCGAGGAGGGTGAGGGCCAGGGTGACGAGCTTAAGAAAGCTCTTAGTTTTAGAGAGAGGAGAGAGAGAGAGAGAGAGGAGATGAGAGAGACAGAGAGAGGAGATGAGAGAGAGAGGATATGAGTGCTGGGTCTGAGGGATTGAGGAGAGAGGATAATGATAATTTGAGGATTTTAGCTTAGCTGACATGTAATAATTGATAAAAAGGGGCTGCGGTACAAAGTGTCACACATCAAGGGGCAGATCCACATGTGGAAAACTATGAAGGGCCTCGTCACATGAAGTTTCTGCTTTTAGGACCTTTACACATTTTTCCCTAAAAATAATCTACCAAGTATGATGTACCCTATTTTCTTTCATTAAAATCACATTACTACTCCGCGTGAAATATAAGTTATACCTAGTTTCTAATAAAGTAATACAAGATAACACACCTCTACTAAAAAATATCATAAAAAATATCTTATAAAATTTGATGAAACTTTATTGTAAGTGCCTGTTTTATATAAAATTTTCACTAGTAGAAAACAAGGCATTGGCGACGGGGAAATCCGTCACCAATGCCTCAAAATCCGTCACCAATACATATTAGCGACGGGCCCATTTCCGTCGCTAATAAATCCGTCGCCAATAAGTATTGGCGACGGGTTGCCCCGTCGCCAATAATTATTGTCGACGCACGACTATTGGCGACGGATTTCTTTGGCGACGGGTTACTTCCGTCGCTCAAACATTGGCGACGGATCACCCCGTCGCCAATGTGCATTGGCGATGGGGTAGTCCGTCGCTAATGTTTAAACATTAGCGACGGATCACCCCGTCACTAATGTTTATTGGCGACAGGGAAATCCGTCGCCAATGTTTAAACATTGGCGACGGACTACCCCGTCGCCAATAAACATTGGCGACGGGGTTGCTCGTCGCCAATGTTTGAACATTAGCGACGGATCACCCCGTCGCTAATGTTTATTGGTGACGGGTAGTCTGTCGCTAATGTTTTAACATTGGCGACGGATTACCCCGTGGCCAATGTTTATTGTCAACGGATTTTCCCGTCGCCAATGTATATATTTACGCAAAAAAAATTTAATTTTTCGGTAGCCTCCCATACGAGAGAATACACATATAACCTGTATCGTCCAATGACAATATTTAACAATATATCATAAAACCAACCATGATATACATTCACATTCCACACTCATTCAATTTCATCCGTCAATCCACAATATCGAATAATACTCGTCATATAATCACAATCACAATACATCTCGCATGCTCAAATAATATTCATTCACTACGCAATAAAATCACATATATATTTTATATATGTAAAATTCAAAAGTCATGATATGTCTTAACACAAGTCTCACTCACTCCTCGTCATCGTCGGCATCCCTGTTATCAGCATCGTCTGCATTAGAACGTCGTATCGTGCTGCTGCTCCCTACAATACCTCCTCCAACCTGAAAAGAATATCACTCCACATAAGATATATATATATACCAAAAATATAATAATAAATACATATATGTCGCGTCATATATACCTCTCCACCACCATGAACTTCATGCTCGGCAAACGCCAACTTAAAGATCTCTAAGTATATCGACTCAGGAAGAATCTCCTTCAACGATGGACAATCACTGAGGCGCTGCACAACATCCCAAGTCGATTGTGCACCCCCTAGCTCGCGCGTAATAATGGGAATAAATTGAAAAAACATCGAGGGTTGAACATTGTCCATTAAATACTGTCCAATTTTAGCCACGACGTACGATGTCACACTTGGTCGATTTGAGGTCGCGGACGAGTCATTTTGTATATTCCTGCTAGTGGAGACTATCCTAACTTTTGCACTTGATAAAGGCACCCTCCCTTTCTTGATTGGTTTAGAGCCATAAACTCCATCAACAATTTCCCTCCATTGCTCTCTAGTCATGCGATTAGGATCGGTAGGAGTGTTCTCTATGCTCTGAGACTGGGACAAGACAAAGTCTTGTGAAGCTTCAAGCGCCTCCTAAATAACATATAGCAATAGAAATAAATAAATTAGGGCAGTCTTAAGCAATGGAACTCAACCAATAGAAATAAATAAATTAAGACAATGTTATGAATTAAGTGCAAAGCTATATGATCACTTTCTTATTTCATTTATAGTCGACCTTTTTCAGCTATGATTCTGAAAGAAAAAGATATGTCACTGGACATGCATTTTTTACCTTCTTCGTCAAACATACTGGTATAATATGAGCCGTGCAGCCTAGGCTTTAAGTTCATGACTGTTACAAATACATCACAGCTAAGCTTGAAGTTCATGACTCTGTTACAAATACCTGGAAAAAATAAGGTGAACTGCATGTCCCTGTTCCTAGTCGGGGATGGAACATGGTTATCAAGTGCCTGGGGTCATAAAGTGTGACACAGTAACTTTTAAACATGAAGGGATGACGACATTTCCGTAGTAAATTTATATGCATATTTATGTGCATTTGCCTATGTGGTTCCATTAGCATGAGAACTTGTATGAAACCGCATGTGTAAGAAGGAAATAGATGGATGCATGCAGAAAAGCATGCATTCTTGCATTCAGCATATGATATGGTTAGAAATGTTATCACAATTTTTAACAAAGTGTGAAAAGTGAATGTGAAAGTTCCAGTATATACCAAGTAAAGAAACACGATGAATAAGCATGCACGCATATCCTTATTTAAGGCCTTACACAGGCAATATCTGCATTTGGAAAATATATGTAAACTTGATGATGAAGCTATCACTTAATTCAGCAAAAACATCAATTGTTCCATGAATGTTTTAGAAAGCACATGAATGAATAATTAAGCAGATATGAATGCATTACACTATAAATGGTATTCGAACATTAATGAATTCTAATTAGAAATACATGTGTGCAAATATGAAATTAAGTTTATACTTACATGCATATCCTTAATTTTTGTCATCTTTTCCACCTTATCATAGCCCTCGGGTGGTGTATATGCATTTCTAGCAAGAAGAGTTGGCGGCATAGTCAAGGCGTCCTATGATTAATCAAATTTCAAGGTATTTCTAATAACGTATGAAAATAGTAACATGAGTTGAGTTTTAATATTTTGATCTAACTGGATTTTCACGCAAATATTTATGCTCGATCCGAGCGTAGGGAGTAGCTCCTAGAAAGTGATCATATAGCTTTGCACCGCGATTAGCCGATGCTATCGAACATTTATCCTTCAAAATAAAGTAATTTTTCAGTATATGTGGTGGTAATATAATTAATTAAAAAATAACTCACCTTCTTCTCGCCCTCCCACTCGATAATGAGAGTCATCCAATTATAAGGAGGAACCCTCTTATCAAGCTGATGAATCCGCTTCCAATCAATGGTTATATCTGTAAAGTATTGACTCTTAAGTCTACTCCTCCACCCCCGAAGCATCTTGCTCGCTCTACTCATTACGTAATCCCAAGAGTCCGGGTTGTCCTCAAGGCAATAGTGATTCTACAAATTAGGTGTTACAAAAACATGCAATATTAAAAAATTAAATAAATATTTATTGAAAAAACAATATAATGAATAATTACCATGAGCCTCTCCCATATCTTCTTTATTCCATTCCATTGTTGTTCATCAAAATTATGAGCGATGTTAATGTGGTGTGGGTCTCTGATTAAACAACCGATCAAATTATTAAATCTGACCGCGTAATCTCCAACTGGAATGTTGCCCATCCACCCCAAAATGGCTCGATAACCTTTAGGAGGTACCTTCGTAAACAGATCACTACCGTGTCTACCGGCCTTCTCGTAGTCCTTGTTCCCTACAAAGACAGAGAGATATTTTTTTAAAAACTTCAATAATTAAATAACGAAGATTGATCAATATTTTACATGATATTCTTACCCATTTCCCTCAACTTATCTGACATCGCCTTTTCTAGTCTCTGCTTTATTATACTATCCTTGTTTTTAATGTCTTCTCTCCTTTTTTTATAGTTCCTATCGCATTTCTTTTGCAATGTGATAGCCTTTTCTGGTAAGGGGATGGAATTTACTGCTTCAGTCCATGGACGGAGACATTCAACTTCCGACTGAGAAGATCTCGCAAAAGACTCGTGTTGGATCTCGTCATCACTGGATCCATCATGATGATTGTCTGCAATATAAAATGTGAAATAAATATTTATAGGAACATAAAATATCCATGGACATTAAAATTAATACCTAGACCAGGCGATGAATCCCGATGATGACGTTGACTCATAGGTGGACTCATAGGAGATGCATGTGTATCTGTCCCCGCAATATCTACGAAAGTAATAAAAATAATATAGGTAAATAAGTTTCTCAATTAACTTAATGATATTAAATAAATTAATACCTTCAACGGGTGAGGATCCATGTAGAGATAATGGACTACTATAAGGTCGTGAGGACATTCCTACACGTAAAAAATATAATTATAAATGCGAAATATGCATATTTATATCACAAACACAATTTATTTGAACAAATTAATATTTATACCTGATGATGAATTTGCTTGATTGTGGGAAACTTCCCCTATGCGCTTTATCCTTCGGCTCATCTGCATCTTAAATGATTATTCAATTTATTGAAGCAAAATAAGTGAATGTTGAAAATTGCATTGACAAAATAAAAAATATATATTAAAACGACAAAGTTAATACTTTAAATTTTAAAAGTACTAATATTTCGACATTCAATCTCCTACATTACGAATATCAAGCCGATTTTGCGGAGTATACATATTAAGAGAAGATAGCCATGACCCCACTGTTTTGGGTAACTCTCTCCTCCTCAATCCCCAACTTTTGAAATAAAAACCCATTCACACGATATCCGCTGCATTGTTTAACTGTGTAGTGTGGCCCGTGTGCATGAATTCTTATCTCTTCTGATATTGGTAAACCAGCTAATATTTGTCTTTCTACCTAATGTTGAACAAAATAACAAACAAACGATTGTTAAGAAGTTATTCTAAATTTTCTCAAAGTTAATTAAATTATAAATTCACAAAACTTACTTCAGCTGCAACCCATTTCAGAAATTTTTTTTTCATGTATTTTGGCAATTTGATTCCGTGCTGACGGCCCAGTTATTTCTAACTGCAACTCCTCCAAATGTCGACTATTGATACAATATAAGAGATTAATAATTATATAAATAAAAAAATTATCACTTTTATTAAAGTTAATATACTTACTTTCGATAATTTTCAAAGATCTCCAGATTGTGCAAGACGAATGCATGAGCTTGTTCCAAGTCTATTCTGGAGTAATCCTTGTTCATCTTGGTACTGCCATGAAAAGTGGCATCTCTTTTACTAATTTGTGTATTATTATTTGCATCTCCACCTCGCATATATCGAGAGGCAAAAGACATGCATTCATTTGCAACGTAATGGTCAGCAATCGAACCCTCCGGATGAGCTCGATTGCGCATTATGCGCTTCAAGAAACCCAAATATCTAAAAAAACAAAAATAACTTTAGTTATTAAGATAAAATAATTACATGTTAGGTAAAGTGACTTTATTGAATTTTAACTAACCTCTCCATGGGATACATCCAACGATAGTTAACTGGACCTCCGAGTAATGCCTCATCTACAAGATGATGTGTAAGATGGACCATAATAGTAAAAAATGAGGGAGGGAAGAATAACTCCATTTTGCAAAGGGTTTCATTCATTTCTCCTTTTAGTGTCTTAAATTCTGTAACATTGATAACTTTTGAGCATAACTTTCTAAAAAATCCACAGAATTCAATTATAACCTTTGCTACTTCATCATCAGCCATATTGTTACGGAGTGCTGTGGGAAGCAATTGGTGAAGAAGGATGTGATAATCATGAGTCTTAAGTCCCAAAATTTTTCGCTCTTTCACCTGGACATTATTTGAAATATTAGAACAGTAACCATCTGGCGACTTTACCGATTTGAGCACCTCACAGAATCTTTGCATCTCAACCTTTGTCATCGTAATGCGAGATGAGGGCAACTCAAATTTGCCTTCAGTAACTTCTCGTGCTTGCAGATCATGTCGGATGTTCAATGCATTCAAGTCTCGCCGAGCTCGTAAATCGTCCTTTGATTTCTTACCATCCTGTAAGAGTGTGGACAACAGGTTATCACATATATTTTTTTCAATATGCATTACATCTAGGTTATGCCGAATTTTTAGCTTTTGCCAGTACGGTAGCTGAAAAAATATACTAAATTTTGTCCATCCTTTTGGTAATTCCTCATCACGTGTCTCATCCGTAATGCACACTTTTCTCTTTCGTTTCGGTGCCTTCTTCATAATGGAAATGCGTCTTGGAGCTAGAATATCTTCTCTTGTATATCGGCTCTTTCCAAACTTATTTTTAGGATATCCCTCAAATAATTCTACAATTTCATCTCCAGTCATTACGTGCGGCTCTCCTCTTTTCTCTTCTTGGCCATCAAACTTATTCGCCCACCTTTTCCCTCTGTATTTATGTCCTTTACGTAACCATCTTCTGTTAAACCAATAACACATCTTTCTACTGTGTTGTAAATGAAAGCCTTCAAAGTTTGGACCACATACGGGACAAGCAAATGTTCCTTTTGTAGACCAACCGGAGAGATTAGCATAAGCTGGAAAATCATTAATGGTCCACATAAGAATAGCACGAAGATTAAACGTTTGACGGGAAAATGCATCATACGTTTGGACCCCTTCATCCCAGAGAAGTTTTAACTCATCAATTAACGGCTCCATGAACACATCTATGTCATTACCGGGTGAGTGTTTGCCTGGTATCAGCAATGAAAGGATCATATACGGTTGCTTCATACAAAGTCGAGGTGGTAAATTATAAGGTATTAACACAATGGGCCAAGTAGACCAACCTGAACTCATAATGCCAAACGGGTTGAATCCGTCACTAGATAGACCGAGTCTAACATTCCTGCACTCTGTGGAAAACCAAGGAAAAGATTGATCAACATGCTCCCATGCATCTGCATCTGCCGGATGCCTGAGTTTACCATCAACTACGCGTCCTTCCTTATGCCACCGCATGTTTTTAGCTGTGTCTTTTGTCATATACAACCTCTGTAAACGCGGTACTAAGGGAAAATGTCGGAGCACCTTCGCTGGAATTTTCTTCGGCTGCTTAACAGGCTCATCTGCCTTTCGTGTTGAAGTGCGTGTATTCTTTCTCCAACGAGACACTCCACACTTTGGACATTCTTCAAGCTTCTCATTATCCTTATAATACAGGATACAATCATTAGGACACGCATGGATTTTTGTGTAATCTAAACCGAGAGCGCCAACGATCTTATTTGCATCATAACATTTTTCTGGTATACTATTCTCTCCATCCGGAATTACCTTGCGTAATAAATTAAGAAGCATTTGAAAATATTTATCTGCCATTCCGCTGAGGGTCTTAATACGCATCAGTTGAAGAATAAACGACAATCTACTATACTCTGAGCAACCGGCATACAAATCCTTTTCGTCATCTTCTAATAACTTCATTAAACTTTTAAAGCTATCGGTATCACGCACATCATCAACATTTTCGACACCTTCTGCATCTTCGGGAACTTCAAGAACCTCCGGAAATTCTACAACTTCTGTAACTGCGGCAATATCATTGAACATTGCATGTGTATCGTCTATTCTTAAATTTATATTTCCGTCAGCTGGTTCAATATCGTCATCTTCTCCGTGAAATATCCAATATTTGTACTTTTCATCAAATCCCCATCTTTCTAAGTGTTTTCGTATAGTAACTCTATCCACCAAACCCCTATTTCTGCAAAAACTACATGGACAAAACAGTAAATCATTTTCTAACTTCCTCGGATTCGCATACGCATACTCAAGGAACGCTTCCCATCCTTTACGATATCGAGTGTCACCTCCCGCTCTTCTTTTCATAATAGGAATATCAATCCACGACTTGTCAGGAACTTGTCTCATCTGTATATTAAGTATAATTCTATAGTTGATTTCTGTGAATACTAAGTATGTGAACTTTCTCTTTTATAATTGTCATTGTTGCACTAAATTGGACTAAACACTATATATCTACGTAATAAACTTCATTGTCTACATTTGAACAAACAATAGGTTAGTCTAAAACTTTCTCGGCTGTCATAGGAAGGCTTCTATCCCATTAAGAATATAGTAGTGCTTACATCTAACTTTGAATACTTTGTGCATTTTTATTTCTAGAAAATTTCGGCAGCACCTACCCACTGTTCTCCGAGTACACTGTGCGGATGTTATTATGCGTATCGATAATAGATCAAAATCGATAAATAATAAACCAAAACGCATAACAACATACGCTTATTGTACACGGAGAACAACGAGTACGTGTGACCAAAATTTTCTAGAAATAAAAATGCACAAAGTATACAAAGTTAGATGTGTGCACTACTATATTCCTAACCCGTCCGAACTGGACAGATCCAATAGTTACGTACCAATTATTTCTACTTATAATATAAGGTAAACGATCAATTTCGGTATAGAATTAAATTTCATACCGAAATTTGAGTCGTCTATCTTATTTTATAACTCCAAAAAAATTGGTAGTAATTATTGGACGGGGATCTACGGTTGTCGTTAACTAATTTTTTATTCACCTATAATGGATATATAACATATTTTTTGTGTTATATATCACACTAAGTATAATTGGCATTAGAGTAGCATTTAAGTTCAGTTTTAGTAAGGCATGAATAGTATTGGTTATTGTTGGATTATTACGATATTAAGGTTATGATTAGGGTAATATTAGATTTTTTGTGAAAGTAGAGTTAAAAATAGGTCATTTAGGTTTAGGATAACTACATTTGCATGATTATGATCAACTAACAACATTAAATTGCATAATAAGTTTATAATATTAAAAAACAAAAAACTAGAAATATGTGAAGACAAAACTTTCAATGAGGTGGAGGATGCCGACGGTGGTTGGAGTTGAGGATGGAGGCGTTCGAATAATGAGTCTGCGATTTAGTATAATTAAAGTCCAAAATATTTAATTAGTTAGGTAAAGAATAAAAATTGTCTTTCAAATTGACTTAAAATTGACTTAAAAAAGGACAAACTCATGCTATCTGATCACGTGACTACACACACACGTCATGCTTAGAAAGAGGCATAAAAGATCACATAACAATATAGACTTGAAAAAGGACAAACTCATGCTATCTGATCACGTGACTACACACACGTCATGCTTAGAAAGAGGCATAAAAGATCACATAACAATTTTTTAAGATCATAATGTTGTATAACAAATTATCAACTTCTCTTGTGAGTATAAAACAAGGGCTTAACTTGTAACAACTTATGAGAATTAGCCTGCATACATCCTGTTTACTTATTTGATTCAAGGGTTGGATCCGGCGGCGGTGCAAGGAGGGCTGGACGCTGGATCCGAACGGAGGCGGGGGCGCGCGGACAGAGGGCGGGCGCGCGTTCGGTTGTAGGGAGGCGATTCGGGCAGGGGGGCCGTCGCCGGGCCGGAGGCCGCGGCTCGGAGCCGGGGGCACGGGGGGAGGCGAGCGCAGGGGAGCCGAGCGCCGTTAGCTTGTTTGGGATTCTGGGAATGAAGGAAAAAGAGAGAGAGATAGGGCCTGCAGAATTGAAGTTGATGGAAGCGGCTGCTAGGGTTTTTTGGCAAAGTTTTGAAAAATGTTTTAAGTTTAACCCTTTTACAGTTTTAATGTTTTCAATTAGTACCCAAAAGTGTTTTAACTTTGAACAGGGTTTCTAGAAAACAACAAAAAGTCCTCAATAATAGGACTTATAATGCCGATACGCTCGCTTGACCCGAGGTTAAATTATATCCCTCACATCTATTGCCTTCTTCCAAAATTTACTCACTCAAATCATGAAATTTCTATACACATCCCTCAAATCATCATAATATCTTACAAATTAGTTACAATCTGAATATCACTACTGTGCAGAAAGAACATATCATACTATATTTACAAATAGTTTATCGAATATGTACATGATCAAATCGAATCCGAACGTAACCCTGTGTAAATTCCTTATTCATGTTATAAGTCGAATATTAAATTTTATTGCATTTAATACTAAGAATGAACTGTACTGAATCAACTTTGACCAGAATATCTTTTGGTTTAGAATCCACGTTGGTGTTGATTTGGTAATTGTGGATGGAGTTCTACCATTAAAAATGTAGTGCTTAAACTGCTATTTAACAATTAACAATTATCCTTCAATTTTCCGCAGTAACTAGTTGAGTAGTTTTTCAAATTTGAAGATAATTTAATTAGAGTAGTGATTAAAATAAAAAGAAAAATTGAAGCATTATTACTACAATTTTTAACTGTTTAGTGGTATTAATGTCATTTGGGGTTATTTTAGAATGTTTCTAAGAATTAGAAAGACAGAAGAACAAAAATAAAGTTAAAATGTTTAATTTTAGAAAAGAAATATTCGTTTTAAATCTTAACTATTATTACCATGAGTTTCCCTTGACTTTTCAAATTATAAAAATCCAATCGTTTGTTTGGAGCCTAGTTCGGTTTTTCTTTTCTTAGTAATTGCTCTGTTTTCAAGAGAGTTTGGATTTTGGAATATTTTAACATGAATCTACAATGCTTTGCGATAAAAATTAACTTGCAACTTTTTCTTTCTTTTATAACTGGCAAATACATATGTTAATTATACTATATATATTATTATATATATATACTAATATAATATAGTATATATATATATATATATATATATATATATAATATTAATATCATATCAATATATATATATATATATATATATATATATTATATCATATATATATATATATATATATATTATAATATATATCATATATTATATATTATTATGAAAAGTGAATCCAAGGTGACCCACCGCCTATGCTCCCACCGTAAGGACGCGAACCTAAAATCACATCATTCCCTGAATATTTTTTTTTACGATCCGCTCAACCGGTTGACTGATCCTAACACATTCCCTTAAACCTAAACACCACAATTTTGGGGTGGGCAACCCGTCGGTTTTTTTTTTGTAACCCTTCCATGCCACGTCCGTCGTAATTCTTAAACGGTTTCGAATGAATAGAAACTGTTTTTTGAACTTGCACTCCAACGAAATGGTCAAAACCACGAACGGTTTTCACCCCAACAATTAGTGGTGTTTTTGAGTTTTTAAGCAACACTAATGTAGATGCAGTTCAAATGGAGCGTATCGTAAAAAAAATATTAGGGAAATGACTGTGATTTTTTAGGCCCGTGTCCTTTTAGGTTGGGAACAGCTAAGGTGGTCACGCTTAGATTCACTTTTCTCTATAATTATAATTATATATATATATATTATATAATATAGTATACCTATATATATATATATATATATATATAGTTTGTTTTGACCTACTATCTTCAGCAAGCTTATGTATATGTTTTGAGTTGAGGTACGTGATATAAAGTGTCAGGCTTGACTCGTACACGGGACTTGTCTTGTGCAAGGGTCGATGTTGTCTCGTAACCCGTGTTTATGAATATTCACTGAAGTTTTGGAGCGTGACAATTTTCATTCATTTCTTTAGTGATTAAATATCATTTAGCTCATCTCAAATTCATTAATGATGTAGAGGGCGACATAGAATCTGCTAGCATAAAGAATAATAGAGCTCATATCGAATCTGCTAGCATAAAGAATAAAGAGTAGTAATAGAGCTCATCGGATTTTCTAGCATAAAGGAGTAAAAAACAATTTAAACTAACATAGAACTCCTAATTAATTGAAAAGATATATGATAAGTTCTGGTATATCATTTGCAAAATCAATATGGTTACTGTTCATAACGCGTATAACTAAAAAGTGATATCCTCATTGGCGACGGATTCGATATAACTCATTTGGACCTTTAAATCTAACTATTATACAGTATCTCTTAACTCTTTAATTATAAAAATCCACGCCATTTGCGACGCTATATATAGTTGTCTCATTTACAACGAGTGGAAACCCAATTTCATTAAAAACTTCTTTTTTTCGCGCCAATATATATCATATTCCTAATTAATTAAAAAGGGCTATGATAAGTTTGGATATAGCATTAGCAATATCAATATGGTTACATGTTCGTGACACGTATAACTAAAAATGATCTCCTAGGTATCTCACCATTTTCTCATTATTTTCACTTTTCGCATCATTTTCTCTAAACTAATCAAAGTCATCATTTTCTCTAAACGAATACTTATCAAATATCAAAGTATATCTATTTCGTTAAAGAATTTAATTTTCGAGTATTAAAGAATAATTCATAAATAAGAATTGCTATAGCATTAGCAATATCAATATGGTTACATGTTCGTGACACGTATAACTAAAAATGATCTCCTAGGTATCTCACCATTTTCTCATTATTTTCACTTTTCGCATCATTTTCTCTAAACTAATCAAAGTCATCATTTTCTCTAAACGAATACTTATCAAATATCAAAGTATATCTATTTCGTTAAAGAATTTAATTTTCGAGTATTAAAGAATAATTCATAAATAAGAATTATTCCTTTTAATATATATGATATGAGTATTGGCGACGGATTCGATCTGTCGCCGGATAGAATCCGTCGCCAATACTCATTGGCGACGGATTCGATCCGTCGCCAATGTTTTTCCGTCGCCTAAAGTTATTGGCGACGGAAAATCATTGGCGACGGATTGAAATCCGTCGCCAATACAAACATTGGCGACGGGGATAACCCGGTCTCCAATGTTCCGTCGCCAATGTTTTTATTGGCGACGGATTTAAAATCCGTCGCCAATACCCCGTCGCCAATGCCCTGTTTTCTACTAGTGTAATTGGATGATTAAGTTTCTGTATTTGCTGCGCATGCATTTCCACCTGTATAATGCTAGTACTATATTAAGAACTTTGTGAGGGTAGAAATTTTTCTAAA